GATTCCCCTCGGGCAAGGCAAGGGATCCTTCACCTGAGTGATGTTCTTTGCACTGAGGTTTTGTATGTTGAGTTTTAGAGATTGGACACGTTGTACAGGCAGAAAAAGAGGAGATTTTCCAAGGTTTTCCAGCTCTGGGGATGGATGTGCATGTCCTTTTGAGAGGTCTCCCCTACCCCACCAAAGCTGCTGCTCTGAGTCATGGAATTAGCATGGAATGGGACGAGTTGCTGAGGTCTGTGCTCAGGGGCAGGATGAGACTTGATTCCCAAACCCCTGGGAGATGATTCCTAAGATTCCTGAGGCCCTGGGAGCAGATTCTCCTGGGGAAGCCGAGGGATCATTCACCTGAGTGAGGTTCTTTGCACTGAGGTTTTGCACGTTGAGTTTTAGGGGTTGGACACATTGCACAGGCAGAAAAAGAGGAGATTTTCCAATTTTTTTCCAAGGTTTTCAGCTCTGGAGGTGGATGTGCAAATCCTATTGCTGCTTGGGAAGTTGGGTGTGAAATCCAGTTGAATTCAGTGCAGATATTTTAATTTTTTGGGGGGGAAAACTCAGCTGGAAGAAGGATCAACTCTTTTGGCTCTGTGCTCATGAGTGTGGCCAGAGGAGCTGAGTGGGAGCTTTCTCCTGGATTATTTCCTAGGAGCTTACAAAAAAAATCATCTCCTCTTGTTACAGGGAAACTGGGGGATCATTGAACACAACTTCCAAGGACAGCAGCTAAATCCTTCTCCAGAATCACTTCCAATGGGACTAGACACTCCCTCGAGACTCACAGAACATCAAGCAAAGCTGCTCGAAACGATTGTGGCTCTCCAGGATCTCCTCATCGGGCCCAGACTCCAAAATCTCCCTCTGAAGTGGCATTTTATCACCTTTTTTCCCACCCCCTTGTTGTTTAACCAACACTTCCCACGTCATTTCTGGCTCCCCAAGACATTCCGCGGAGAGGAATTCACCCACTTTGCTTCTAGCTCCCTCCCACCCCATCCCTTCCCTCTGCTGCGACCATTCGCTCAGGAATCTCTTCTGAAACAGCTTTTGCCTCTTCTTCTTGCTCTTGGGTGAACCTTCCTGCAGGAGCTGGGGAGTGGTTTAGGGTGGTGTAAAGGCAGGAGAGCTGGGGACCCTTCTCCTGTGTCCACGAAGAGCTGGACATGGGATGCAAGAGGAGAACTCCCCTCAATCCCACCCAAAATCCCTCCCAAATCACTTGTGTGAGCCCAACCACATCTCTGGGAGGTGAGATCTGCCCATCCTGCCCAGGTGGGATGACAGTGTAGGGCAGAGATGGATCCATGGAGATCCAGACGTGGGTTACATGAGGAGAAATCCCCTCAATTCCACCCAAAATACCTCCTAAAACTCTTGTGTGAGCTCCACTCTGCCCCACCACACCCCTGGGAGGTGAGATCTGCCCAGCTGGGCTGAGTCCAGGCCAGAGACCTGAAACCCTGAGCAGCTAAACCCAAACCCTTCTCCAATTCACCGATGTGAGCCTCAACCCAAGAGGAGCAGCTCGAGGGGATGTGCTGCAGCTCAGAGCTTGTTTGTGTTGATGTGCTTCCAAGTGCTGCTTTGGGGATTTTTTTTCTGTCTGGGAACTTGAAAGAACCTGAGCAGAAGCTTCTCGGGGTTTGTTTTGGTTTGTTTTGCCTCGTTGCAATCAGCAAAGGCCTCAGCTCTGCAGGTCTCACCTCCCAACCAGGTGAGTCACCGACGCCTCCGGGTGAGTGATCAGGAGCTGATCCTTGGATCCAAAACACCATCCACTGGGAGGCAGGGGGTGCTCTCACCCCGAGAGTGGAGATGCTGGAACCTCCTGGAGACAACACAACTCCACAGGGAGAGCTGCAGCCACACGGAGTGTCCGACAACAACCTCTCATCACCTTGAGGGACATCAACGGCAACAGCTCAATTAAGAGGGTGAGGCTGAAAGATCCTGTTAGAAGCATGGAAGATCCATGGGGATTTGCCTCCCTAAGCCTCCTGCTGGGAACTGGGAGAGTTGTGGAGGAGGACCAGGCAGGGAAATGCCTGAGACACCCCGAGCACTATGCAAAGTCACACCTGGGAACCAGAGAGAAGGTTGGAATCAGAGCCAAGGGCAAAGATTTGTGTGGAAAGGTGTCATCCCTGCCCAGCTCTTCTAGGAAAGCCTGTTCCTGCAGATAGGGGGAATGAACTGGGATGCTGCTCCAGAGGGTTTGGGAGAGTAAAGCAAATGAAGGTTTAGGCAGCAAAACAAGGAGAGTTCTCCTGGGGTCTCTTAGTCCAACGTGGTTTCCTCACTTTGGTTGGTGTCACCCATGTGCAGTGTCCTCCTGGAGGGGCTCAGGGCTGCAGGTGAGATGTGATGGTCCCTCAGCTGAGACAGGGGTGAGGACTCTGTGGGGGAGTGAGAGGACTCAGGAGCAGAGCAGAGGGAGGAGGAGGAGCAGAGTCAGGTGCAATGTTTGCAGAACCTCTGAGCTCCACTTTGGGCCTCTGATTTGCTCGTTAACCTCCACTCATTTCTTGGCCTGGCTGGAACATCCTCTGGGGTTGTAGGGACTGAGAAGAGTCTTGGTGGATGACAATTGACCATGGGTTGCCCAGCAGTGTGTCCCTGTGGCCAGGAGGGACAGTGGGATCCTGGGGGACATCTGGAAGAGTGTGGCCAGCAGGTCAAGGAGGAGATTCTCCCACTCTCCTCGGCCCTGGTGAGGCACATCTGGAGTGTTGGGTTCAGTTCTGGGCTCCACAGGAAGGACAAGGAGATCCTGGAGAAGGTGCCAGTGGAGATCTCCTGCAGAGCCTCTGGGTCAGTATGATCCTCCTTGCTCCGTGTCCTGCCCTGAGTTAGGAGAACCTTCAGAGGTCAGAGAAGCTTCTGACTCTCTGGAGTTCCACCAGGTGTTTGCAGCGAGGTTTGTCTGAGGGTTTTTTGTTTTGGCACTGCCTGACCCAAATCCCTTCGCAGGTGGTGAGTCCTGAGCTGCAGCTCCCAGAATCCAACTCCAGCCCAGATCCGTGGACAGTGTCCTCTCCCAGGGCCTGGAGCTCTTGGCTTTGCTGCAGCTCCTGAAGGAGACACAACCTACAGCCCGAGGCTGTGCCAGAGCTGTGCCAACCCTTCCCTGCTGCGGCATGGACCTCTTGGATCGGCCCCAGGAGGGTGAGCAACGGTGGAGATTAATCATTTTGTCACTTGATGGAGAAACCTCCACCCTCTTCCTCCTCCTCCCCCTTCTCCTTCTCCTCTTTTTCCTTCTCCCCCTTCTCCTTCTCCTCCTCCTCCTCCTCTTTCTCCTCCTCCTCCTTCTCTTTTTCCTTCTCCTCCTTCCCATTCTCCTCCTCCTTCTCTTCCTTCCCCCTCCTTTTCCCCTTCCTTTTCC